CTCCGATCTGCCAGCGCTGACTGGCGGAACGGACGGGGGAGGGGGCGGGTACAGCTGGCTCTGCCTCTAGATAGGCAGAGCCAGCTGTCACTAACGCAGCTGGGCGGATCCCGTCGTCTAAGTCGGGATCCGCTCCGGCTGCGGCGTCTCAGTACAGCTCCATATATACTGAGCTTAGGGTAACGGGAGGACGCTAGTTTGTGTCCTCCCGTTACCCTAAGGAGAACTATGGGGAAAAACAATGACCCCATAGTTCTCCTTTAAAGTAGAGTACACAGACAAGGTTAATAAAGCGGATGCTCCCTTCCACAGAGTCTGCATTCGTGGTCATCCCAATGCCACAGCACAGTTCTTAAAGCGGATGCTCCCTTCCACAGAGTCTGCATTCGTGGTCATCCCAATGCCACAGCACAGTTCTACCACTGTGGTGCCGTAAGATTCAGTTGGTCATCAACAGCACTTGGCTGCCTAAGAATATTTGGGGCATTTTACCCCAGGCAGGAGATGTGTGGCTGTGCTGTTGCTTGCTACACCCCATAAACACAAGAGTGTAAAGCACGGTGTATTCCTTTATTGAATTACACAAGCTTGTGCTTGTTGTAGCATGGCCTAGCAATCTGCTGTTTTAGTCTGTTCCTATGTTCCACCTCCGAGGGTTAACTGCCACATGGTGAACATTTCATGGCCCGTCTCCCATTCCAGTCTTCCGTTTTCTTATGTCTGATTACTTATGCAGCGGAGTATAACCCTCAGAGCACACCTTTCTGTATAGTGTCTATCCTTCTACAGACAGGACCAAATGTTACATTGTGAAAACTGAATACTCACACAAAAAGCTCCTTTGCGCCACCGGTGCCCCTTCAGTGTGCGATACAAGCGTCCAGCGAAGAACCCACCAAACACACTGTGAAAACAACCACAGTTCATGGAGAGGATACAAAAAGCTATAAAACTACACCTGTGACTACTACACTATGGACATGGCTTTAGTAAAAAAAAAAAAAAAAAAAGACATAAAATTCATTTTTCTCCCACTGTTTTTTAATGGAATATCGATATACAACCTGGAACACTGAAGAACAGGAGGAGCCGCAATTATCCCAGAGCGGCGCCATGTGGGGTGTGAAAAGGAGTTTGCCAATATGTGTATTGATCTCTATTTTATGGTCACACTATTTCCGGGGATTTTGCTACAAGAAGGGGGAGCACAGAAGTGGAGTGAAGCATTGGTTGGATGGTGTGGAATGTTTCCTGAAACCAGCGGATCCCCCAGGTTTATGAACACTGTGAGGGTTATCCACAAAAGGGTGAAGAGTTTGGAGGAGGCCGGAGAAGTGAACCATCTAGGACAACAAAGCTGAACTGGAAAGTGAACTGAATTGGAGAATGTTTCCAAATCAGCGATGTTGTCCTAGATTGTTCACTTCTACTGTCTTCTCCAAACTCTTCACCCTTTAGTGAATAACCCTGTGAGAAAATATTTGTTTGGTACACATTTGTGATTTTGGGGTAATGAGATTACCAATATTAATTATTAATGTGTTTTTGTGATCTATTGAGAACATTTATTGGGGTTTCACACATCAAATTTACACCATTATTTGTGCTGTTATTGAAATATATTTTGCACCATTATACAATTGGTTTACACAGCAGTTGGTGAAATATAGGGATTTCCCGGTTTATAAGGGATTCATTTGGATTCTATTACCTAAATTTAGAAACACTATAGACAGAAAACCAGTAGGATCAAAAAAACTACACAAACAACTTCTTCTTGATTCCAAACATGCAGCACTGAGCAGTCTTTGAATTCAAATTTGTACATCCAGAATGACTTGCATTGAACCACCACCATTGCCTGACCTGCTCAACCACCTCTCCCCTCCCCCTCCTAAAAACCCCCTACCCATCTGTGATTCTGTAGCCTTTCCCTCTCAGTCTGTTTATCATCTCCAGCGATCTTAATAGCAGGCTGTGGTATGTAAACAGAGGCAGCCATTAAGTTCAATGACTTCTCTAGCAAGTGTCCCAACTAGCAAGAACCATGAGCGGTGCTACACAAGCTAGACATACACTGAACGAGAAAAAAAAAAACCCTGCAAGTTTCCCCCATCCATGCTTAACAGCATAGAAGAGGAATCTGTCGGGTTATTGTACTCTGACAACTGGGCCCCACTGTTGTTAGCATACCCAAGTCAGCTGCCGTCACTATTCGCCTGACAATTTGTCGCCCGGTATCTTTCAATAAAAATCAATTGAAAACTGGAGCTAGACTTACCGGTAACTCTATTTCCAGTAGTCCTCCAGGACAGCCGGACTAACATCTCATGGGCTGTCCTGGAAGACAACTGGGGAAAAATTGACTTTTGTCAAAAAGAGATGCAGACTGGACCACCCATGGCTCCAGATCTATGCAGAGTAGGGGGTACTAACTTGCAATCATTACCACTGGAGTAGCAATTATTGTTTTCGTGGTCTGGGCACAGATTTGCTTTACATTGAATCTTTGGAACAAAAATATGGAAGCCATCAAAGCTGTCTTGCGTTTAAATGTTCAAGACAAGGCCCCCATTGAGTCTAGCCTAGGAGGACACAGTCTAGTCTAGGGGGATATAACAGAGCGGAAAACTTTCCCTTTTTATCGCTACCCAGACAGCCAGATCATTTCTCCAATCCCGTGACAGGCCCAGAATATGCAGCTTTGATGTCCTGCATTGTACATACTGATATCAGAGTGGGAGTAACCACACGAGAGAGAAGAGATGTGGCCTTGTGGGACCAAGGAATAAGATGAATAATTTGCTCTATCACAAGCTCCCTATATTAAACAAGCTTTGGACCCTCACTATACAGGGTTGTGGCACACACGTTATTTTGATTAGCTTACTGGGCTTCAGTTTTAATACTTACCTTTTCTGACAGACATGTTTCGTGTTTTGGGAACGCAGGTGTGCATGGGCTGCTTTACAATTCAGAGCATACTTTCAGATGTAAAGTATAAAGTCAGTTTCAAACCAGCAGCAGAATATTGCTGCCAATCTTACCCCATAAACATGAAGAGGAAGCAGGCTGTGGTCATAAGCGCACCTCTACTGGATGGAGACAGCATTCCCAGCATGGCCACAACTAAAAGACAATGACATCACAAATCAGCACAAAAAACACTAATATTGGTTAAAATGTAAAATTGTATGTTCCCTAGAGGGAGCCTCTCTTCGTCATTGTCTTTGGGATAGTCCACGTGTTGCCACTTTCTGGGACTGCATTCTTTCTTACGTATCCACTGCACAGGGATTCCCTTTATATCGTGAACCTTGGCTCTGTCTCTTTAATCATTGGAACCCTCCCCCTCAGATAAGTAAAAATGTTTTACAAAACTATGGATATATGTTGCTATATTAATAGCTAAACGCACTATTATGGATCATTGGCTCTCTACGCAACCACCATCTTTCCAACATTTTATGGCAACCCTAAGATCATTGAGGTGGAAAGAAAGGCTTGAAGCTAGACCCTGATCGATGCACCACAAATTGCTTTATCAAGTGGGAACCTTTTATACTGCATCATTATTCTGGGGCTGAAATTTAGGCTTTAGTATTTCCTCTTAAACACACAACATTTTATCTAGAAAAACACCTTGATGGGACCCCGGGTGCTTTGGAACTGCCGGAGGATTATACTCTGGGCTCATTTGATTTTCAATGATACAAGCCATGGGTTGATCTGGTGCAGTGGTGTAAGAGCACAGAGAAAAAAAACAGAGAAAAGACGAGGATAGGAAAGAAGAAGATAGCGATGGGGAACAATGACAAATCTCTCATGGGTTCGATTTTGATACTGTCATGTGATTCAACATGTCTCTGTTTCTGTAATTGACACAGTTGTTTTATTTTCATGTTTTGTTTTTCCTTTGTTATTATTGTTAAAAATTTATATAAAAAAAAAAGTAAAATTGTTACTGTGACGACATGGTGATGAGTTTATAAGTTAAATGTGTATTGGTGTTGGGTTTAAGTGCGTTATGCTGTGTGACCTGATTTATGAAAATACTATCAGCACCATCCCTCCTTATCTCCCTTAGTACTCTGAAGGAGCTCAGAACAATGACATTCTGGCCAGGCTCCTGCTATGGCTGTCTGGAGCTCGTTAGCAGGGGAAACCCTGTGGTGTTGAGCAGACCGATTGTCTGGGGAAGGCAGGGTGGATGTGATGGGATTATAATCTGATCTCATCCCTTGCTGTATAAAAGTTTGTGCAGTTGCTCAATAAATCAGAGTTTGTTTCACCCTACACTTGTGTCTCGACCAGTGACTGGGGAAACTGAGATCTAAAGATCAGCTGGTTCCAATATCTCCTCAGCAAGGAAGAAGACAGCGGCGGACATACTCATCCTGAGTACGGGAGTCCGTCACAGTTACATCTGAAAATTCATACATTGAAAATGTCCAGCACTGTGGAAACCTGATAAAAAGAACCTGAGCACACGGTCGTGATTAGAAAAAACTAACGATCATTAAAAACCTATCCTGTGTAATAAGGGGAAAGCAGTAGATATGTTTGAAGGAGAACTATGGGGAGAATGAAATATCCCCATAGTTAGAGCCGAGGTGTGACACTGCAGATGTCACACATCAGCTCTATAGATGGAGAACTGATCACATACCACTGTCAATCAGGTAGCGGCTTATATCCCGACAATATTATCGGGATCCTTCCAGGCTGCAGCGAGGATCTGCTCTGCCAGCATATAGCAGGCAATAGCCCACCATATGCTGAGTTTTGGGTCACAGAAGGACATTAGTAAACGTCCTCCTGTGACCCAAAAGAGAACTAAGCCAAAGAAGGTTTGGCCATAGTTCCCTGTTAATACTCCCTTACACAACAGCACATATCAATCTTTATTTGCTTAATTACCACATGCTCCCAGGAACAAAGAAAATACCTGGTGCAGATAAGGAAGAGTACGTGACAGTTGCTAGTGCTTTGTGCGTGACCCAGGGCTGTCCCATTGGGAATGGTGTGGGGGAAACTTATTCAGCCATGTTTAAGTTCAGAATGGAGCGATTCAGTGCTTACCCAGGGATGCCACATGCTCCACCATACTAAGGAGTACTGGGTATTATTTACGCTGCCAATGGCTGAATGGAAAAACAACAGAGTGAAGGAAGGGTCAGTATGTGCATCTATGGCATCCTGCATGGGCGAAGCACAGGTTCACTTTAAATTATTATAACTGGCTAATGATAAAAGATTTACATCTGACTGAGCTGCAAATAGCAGATATAAAGACGCCTCATAGAGCTGACTCTCCAAAGTCATCCTCAGACAAAGGGACCAAAAAATGCCCAAAGAGCCTATACTTTTCTAGTTCAATACTGAATATTCTATAAGACTGAATATGGAAAATTCTTGCAAAATCCTGACGGATCCCCTCTATAATCTCCAGACAGTATTGCACCAGTCCCGCCATACTCACAGATGACAATTAGGACCATGCAGAAGAGCTGAATTCCAGAGCCTAGGAGAGAGCTGAGGATCATGGGATACTGGGGTGGCCGGAAGACATCACCATGGACCAGCTTCCAACCTGATTCTTCCATCGTGTCTTCCTGCAAACAAAGGTAAATAAATTGTTAGCCAACATTAAAAGGAGAACTATGGGGTTAAGGCTTTTCCCCATAGTTCATCTTAGGGTAACGGAAGGACACAAACTAGCGTCCTCCCGTCACCCTAAGCTCAGTATACCACGAGCTGTAGCTCGCGGTATACTGAGACGCCGCAGCTGAAGCGGATCCCGACAATTATGTCTGGATCCGCCCAGCTGCGTGAGTGACAGCTGGTTCTGCCTATCTAGAGGCAGAGCCAGCTGTTCCCGCCCCCTCCGCCAGTCAGCGCTGGCGGATCGAAGCGTGGAGGGGGGAATCCAGCCCCTCCCCTGTCATGGCAGAGAGCCGTGACAGGATCAAGAGTTGAGCGAACGCCGGTATGTGTTCGCTCACCTCCCGATCTATTGAGCTGACCTGTGACAGTCTCATTGTCACAGGTCGGCTAGAACTATGAGGTGAGTGAAAAGCACTCACCTCATAGTTCTCCTTTAAGGTCACATGACAGAGTTAAAACAGCATCAGCAATGACACTTACAATATCATCCTCCTTGTTATAGTTTGCTATATCCTTCCTTAGTGTTCGGATTATAATCATGCTCAGAATACCTGATGAACAGAAGACAATCATTAACATTTATAGAGAAGCTGCAGCAAGGCATGAGATAGACAAGTGCTTGATTAACTGCGCGTATAACATGTGAACTTCCACCAATGTTTCAGCGCTTCATAGGCTCCCCTCAGATAATTGCCCTAGTACCCTCCGCTCACCTGACAGGAAGAAGACAACGACCACAGAATTGATGATGGAGAACCAGTGGATCTGTACGTCGCTCATGGTTAGGTAAGTGTCCCAACGAGAAGCCCACTTGATGTCGCTTTCCTGATGGCAGAAAAAGAGGAAAGCTGAGCAAGAGCTTCACCACCCATAATCCCCTTCACCATGCTAGAGCAACACCACCATGATTCTACCTGCCAGTGCACAGAGTATGTGAACAGCAATTTATTTTCTTTCGCTGGGTCAATCTCCTGGGGAGCAGAATTGGAGCTATCTGGTACTGTGCAGGCTCGCTCTTCCGTTCCTTTCAGGTCTGCATCAAAACAAATCAAAGTAGATGTAAGGCCAAAATGCATGACATTTAGGTAAAATACCTGTCTTCACCGTATTCTCATCCTTTGTTACACCTCAGTGCTGCTGACCTCCTGCAGAGAAGGACCTTCAGTGATTGGATTTTCATATACCTGAAAGCTAAACTCTGGTCTTCCCTTCAGTCTTGCACAGGTGAACTTAAATTGTTTACTCTGATGTCACTGCACACTGTGAGCTTCTTACCTTGTGCACTAGAAGCGGCAGCAAGTCAGACAGAGACTGCCTCATATGCTGGCTGTCCAGCATCATAAACATTTAAAAGGATAGAAGGATCCCTTTATTCAGCCGTGTGCAGGTTTCCTTAGAAATGATAAGTACAAGTGATTGTTGGAAGCATTCGGCTATGCATTGCAGAGCTATTCTGGCATGCTGGGAAACCTCACAAACAGATGATCGCCTATTGGTTGCATCTATGAGCACTTGACAAATCCAATCAGCAGGAAAAAAAAACTGAATGATCAATGAACACACATTACCTTCCAGTCTGATGCTTTGTGGTACCACCTCGAACCTCACAATCCTAAACGTGTGCTCCTGATTCTCCTCCACCACCTCCCGATGGAAGTACAAGAGGAAGGACAAATGATTGTGCAAGTAGAACTGAAAAAGAAAAAAAAAACAAATGATGCGGTTATCAAAACAACATGGTACTAGAGATGGTCAGAGACTGCAAACATTGTACAGGAGATGGCCAGAGACATGCTACTATAGATGGTAATACACTGCTGACATACTACTAGAGATGGTCAGAGACTGCAGCCATGATACAGGAGATGGCCAGAGACATGCTAATATAGATGGTCAGAGACTATGGACATGCTACAAGAGATGGTCAGGGACCAGGGGAAGAGATGCACATTTACCTTGTTGTTGTCAGTGAACCCCAATCGGTATCCATGCTCAAACTGCACATCCCGCTCCTTCTTCTTATCATCCTCCTCGTGGCCAAGATGGATATCCAGTCTAGTAGCTACCGGCAGGTTATCCGCTATCCTAGACACACACAGGAAGACAGTTCTTATGGTACATATGGTACAAATAAATATATTTATTTAAATAAGGAACTCTCCCTCCTGTGCTAGGGATATATAGCTCCCCCTTTTTGTTATGTGCCCATCCTCTTAGAGCTGCCTGCTGCTGAGCTTTCAACAAAAAAGCAAGCAATTTGTTTTACGTAATGTTACAGAAGTGATAATACAGAAACATCTTCCACTATAGGAAGGACATGCCGTTCTGCATACATAAAGTGATCAGCAATACTGCTTCTGACAATACACTGCACAGAGCCTCCTGATCAGTGGAGCGGTAACTCACAAGTGGACATAATAATCTTCCTGGATGCGCTCAGCGAACAGTTTGCTGTCTTCCACATTCAGCACCTGGGGCTTGCTGGGAGTGCTACACAAAATCTCGCACTTCTTGTTACTGTTCATCTGCACCTTGAACGGAGTGTTGACTATGCGGTCACCCCGGAGCACCTCACCTAATGGAGAAAAAACAGTTCAAAGAGAGCTCGGAGCCATCATCTAAATTCACACGCATACAGGAACCTGACAAGCCTGGCAGAAGAACTGGGATCCATTGACATAATAGAGTGATCCCCCTACCAATGCTGTGCTATACAGCAAAACACAGGGAGCGTGTATGCTCTCTGAGCCCATCGTCAACATCACGACATTGGTTTAAAAGGGACTCTGTCCCATGGGGCCTCCACTGCTGACCTCCTTTTGAAAATGCTAGTCGCCTGGCTGTGTCTAATATTATATAGGGGTCTTGCTGCCCCCCTTACCGGTACAGGATGTTCTATAAAATCCTGGTGGGTGCTTGCAGTGACCACGGATGGCGCTGTGAAGATATACAAGCAAAACAAATGGCAAACACACTCATCAATTTGTTACCAGCTTTATAGCAAGATGCACGACAACTAATTGAAGAGTGCGTTTGCCATTTGTTTTGCTTGACTGATCTGGTGCGGTGACACATGGGGGGTCTCAGCTGCCGTTGTGATGTGCGGGGTCCCTTGTGCGTTCCCGTGCCTTTAAAGGAGAACTATGGGGTAAAGTATTTTCCCCATAGTTCTCCTTAGGGTAACGGGAGGACACAAACTAGCGTCCTCCCGTCACCCTAGGCTCAGTATACCGCGAGCTGTAGCTCGCGGTATACTTAGACGCCACAGTATACCGCGAGCAGCTGCTCGCGGCATACTGAGACGCCGCAGCTGAAGCAGATCCCGACAATTGTGCCGGGATCCGCCCAGCTGCGTGACTGACAGCTGGCTCGGCCTATCTAAAAGGCAGAACCAGCTGTACCCGCCCCTCCCCGTCTGTTCCGCCAGTCAGCGCTGGCGGATCGGAGCGGGGGGAATCCAGCCCCTCCCCCTGTCACGGCAGAGAGCCGTGACAGGATCGA